TTCAGGGTTTAGGGTCTAGGGGTCACCAGACATTAACTATCAAGCTGAGTGGTACCCGCTGGCCTTTTTGAGTTCTGGGTTTCTTTATATCGATCAACCGGCAAGAAAAGGGTACCCGCATCGTAGAAAGGTTCTTGAGCTACCATGACAATATGATGGACCTGTAATTGTTGTATGGTTAACAAAATGTTTCGCCTCCAATGGGAAGTTAACTCAAGTTCCTCAACGGTAACCCAGGACGGGACGCCTGCAGCTGAAAACTCAGATGGCTTCTCAACTGAGACAGCGCCTCTCACGGAGACCCGAGGCAATATCAGAAGAACACGCAAAGCCTGGCTTTGATGCCTCTGCCTGCGAGAGTGAGATTGTCCATCTCCTTGGGCAGTCACTGAAGTGCCTTGATTCAGACGATTCTGAGGAACCTCCCTTGGACCTGAAGGCATTGTGTAGCAGGCTTCGCTTCTCTGCGGGCCGCTTCAGAGAAGAGGCTGCTGCCTGGTTGGGAGAAGTTCGGCAAGAGCTCCGTCTCCCTACCGAATCCGTTGAGCGAAGTGCCCAGACAATTGTGCTTACACTGGTGGATGCATTGAAGAGTCGCTCGCGGAGCCTTCATGCTGCTCCGGACGGTGGTGAAGGGACCGATGCAGGCAAGCCTGGGGCACAGGGGGCTCCAGGCACGATGTTACAGCTGCCGAGGTGCCGCTTCCCGAGCAGCCAGCCTTCCTCCAGCCCTCTGTCTCCGCCGCCAACTCTCGACATAGGCGGGTTCTGTGAAATCTGAAGCATGCCCGTGTACAGAAAATGGAAGAAGACTCCAAGAGCATTTGGGCAAAACGGCCCAAGATGTTACAAGCATTGCAAAACACAGGTTCCGCACTATCACTACCATTTTGCCCCAGTGTCCATTTCATGTTCTACTTTCTGTTCCAATTTTTCCCATTGTTGGCGCGAGAGTGAGTGTGCGCACCTTCTAGGAAGGAGTCGCGGAACTGGCCACTAGCATGGCCATTTTGGGCCTTTGTGCGAGATTAGGACATCCTTAATTATTGTTGACACGCTGATTTGGGGAACAGCCACTGAATAATCCTGATATCGGACCCCGATCATCCCCTGCCTCATCACCTCCACATGGGAGTTTTTTTCTCTCTCTCTCTCTCTC